GACTGTAGTGGCGAAAAATGTTATACAGGCAACACATTTATTAATTATTTTCACAACCTCTCATAGTTTGTACTGCAAGGTTACTAATAAACACTAAAAACGACCTTTGAGAACTCCAATATTACGTGCCGAAGAATGGGGTTGTTCAGGATGTTGTGGAAGTGCTCTTCGATTTGCAGTTGGAATTGTATTTGCAATTTTTTTTCTTGCTGCCATGACAACCGTGTGCATGTTATTGCTGTGAATTTACAAATGCAACGAATATGCAAATCCAAGAGCATATGCGCAAGACCCTAAACAGCCCTAATGTGTTTGATTAAATGCGTGTTATATGCAGTGTTGCCGCGCATAATATTTAGTGGTAGGCAAATTCCTTTAAAAAAGGGCTAAAAAAAGTCGTTGTGCCTAAAAATGGTAGCTAAATTTTTTTATATAAGTATATAAGTATATAAGTATACACGTAAACATTTTCAATAAGTAATGGTATATAGAAACAATGAACTTTGGAAAAAAAGCTAATATTTTATCCAACCAAAAACCTTTTTGTATAAAAGGGGAAATATACGACACCAGCTTGCTGGTTCCATCAAGTGATTGTATCATCAGGCTCGAAGAATATAACTTACCAGCATGCTGGTACAATATTTATTTCTTTACAAATGAGGTCGAGGAAAGATCGAAATGATTAGAGCCGTAATTTCGTAATTTTTCTAGCATTTTGTTAAACATTGTTTTTTTTTGTAATTCACAACTGCAATATCGTGAACGTAATCTTCCACAAACACGGCTTTGACTCATATAGTGCAAGAAATTTCCGCCAAAATACTTTTTACTTAGAAAATTGAGCTAATTTCACCCCTAACGACACCAGCATGCTGGTACAATCACACCACAAGAACATACACGGTCAATCGACTTGATGGGTCATTTAACAAATTTAGCATATTAAGGGCCGTGAACTTATCTATTTTAAACTATAGTTAAATCGTTAACAGATAAGTTAATAGCCCCAATACTTTTACAGTATGTATTTATAAAAGCGTAAGAAACATACAATACATATATGTATATATATCTGTCTTTCTTAGTGTAAAAATTCATCTCTTACATAAATGCAAAAAAAACACAAATTAAGCATATACAACATTTTCATGCCAAGTATGAATAAATTCTAAAAAGGGCTAAAAAAAGGGCTAGGGGCAATTTTAAATTTATGTGGCCAAAAAAAGTATGTGGTAGCCAAATCTAGCCACCAAAGGGCTAAAACGACAACACTGGTTATATGGACCATGGCTACGGATTTATATACGGTGTGAACAAAAAATGTTCCAGAGTATACCCGGCATTGCCCAGTAACTACGAATGGCGATCACCATCTCGATATTNTTCGTGAAATTGGCTGTTAGTGTTTGGCCGGGCTTCTCCTCCGATATGTGGCGTGCGAAGCTGTTTTTCATGGCGGAAATGCATTCGGAGGTTTGCCATTGCCTGCCGAGGGACGACTGCTATTAGAAAAAAACTTTTTTTTTGTTTTTTTTTATGTTGGGTTGAACCGGGCTTGAACCCAGGCCTTGCGGAATGTTAGCGCGCACTGCTAACCGCTACACCGCGGCCGTCTGTGATTCCACCAAATTAAAGGATCTTCTTTTCCGGGTATAAGGGGTAGCTGTAAATGTTTCTCCATTTCTCCATCGTTTGGGTATCCACATCACTACAAAAATTGGAATCAGGATCAAAGCCGTTGGCGACTTCCTCAAGGCATTGCCAAATATCTTGGACTCGCCCTTCAATAGAAGCTTTCAGTAGAGTTTGGCCTTTTTCAATGACACTCCATGCTAACTGATATATATTTTCGAATTATTTAGTTCACCATCTACTCAGTTTTAAGATTTATTGATGCCAGAAAAGAAAACGAGTTTTGAAATGTGTGTCACAAAATATTGCAACAATGACGGGAAGCGAAACGATATTTAACCATGCATATTAGTTCGATTTTCATCACATATTAAATAAAAAAAATAATCAATCAGCTTGTTTATCTTTTGTCTTTGACGTTTCTCCTCTATTTACAAAAAAATAATCGATAAATCCGGGTTGCAGACGGAGAAGTTATCTTTTTAATAAAGGATTATATCATAACTTGGATTTCAGAGGAGAAATTTTGTATCCTTAATTACGTATTGTATACGAAAACGCAGATGATCTAACTAAACAATAAAACCTAATATAACAATATTGTGAAATTTACTAAGGACAGCAGTCTACCGGATATCCGAATCCGGCTCTTATTTTTTACAGAATATCCGGAATCAGGTTATCCGGCAGAATCTCTATCCGGAACATCCCTAGTTTCTGGCGATAAAGATCTAGGTGGGAACTAAAAATTTGATTTACAAGTTCGCGGTTTCCCTGCAGGGTGGCTATTGAGCAAGACTTCGCTGCTTCCCACACAAACGCATGTGCGTGATAGTGTGAGTTTGCCCATCTTTGCTTTAAAATCTAGAAAACCACATACAGCCCTTTTCTGCAATCCGATTCGAATTGGAATCGGATTGTTTTCCGATTGTTGGTGTCGACAATCGGATATTATTTCCGATTCCGCCTTGTTCTACATTTCGATCCAGTTCGAATCGGAATTCTATCGAAAATTTGATGTTCTGCATTCCGAGTATCGGAAATTTTTTATCGGAAATTTTCCGATCAAGTAAAAGCCAGTGGAATAGAAAAAGAACACAACAGAAAAACAAAAATATAAATGTAAATGATCAAAGGAACATTTTAAACTTAAGCGAACAACGAAAAATGTAAGTAAACGAATTAAAATTGGTAATGAAAAAATAAAAAATCATAAACAAATTAAACTGCGACAGCTTGAGTTGGAGCTCGAGCGTTTCAAATTTGATCATAGTAAAAAGTCTTAAAATGTTATATTTTGCGTAAATTGTTTATTGTTTAATTACAAAACTTGTTTTAAATTAATAGGGGTAATTTTATTCGCAATTTCGTATCCAATTATTTTTGCTTCACTTTTCAAATAAGTTTCTGTTGGTGAAAATCTATCTACGTCACTATCTACATACTTCGCTATCGTTTTCTTCAACTTCTTCATAGTCAAATTCAGGACTGTAGTGGCGAAAAATGTTATACAGGCAACACATTTATTAATTATTTTCACAACCTCTCATAGTTTGTACTGCAAGGTTACTAATAAACACTAAAAACGACCTTTGAGAACTCCAATATTACGTGCCGAAGAATGGGGTTGTTCAGGATGTTGTGGAAGTGCTCTTCGATTTGCAGTTGGAATTGTATTTGCAATTTTTTTTCTTGCTGCCATGACAACCGTGTGCATGTTATTGCTGTGAATTTACAAATGCAACGAATATGAAAATCCAAGAGCATATGCGCAAGACCCTAAACAGCCCTAATGTGTTTGATTAAATGCGTGTTATATGCAGTGTTGCCGCGCATAATATTTAGTGGTAGGCAAATTCCTTTAAAAAAGGGCTAAAAAAAAGTCGTTGTGCCTAAAAATGGTAGCTAAATTTTTTTATATAAGTATATAAGTATATAAGTATACACGTAAACATTTTCAATAAGTAATGGTATATAGAAACAATGAACTTTGGAAAAAAAGCTAATATTTTATCCAACCAAAAACCTTTTTGTATAAAAGGGGAAATATACGACACCAGCTTGCTGGTTCCATCAAGTGATTGTATCATCAGGCTCGAAGAATATAACTTACCAGCATGCTGGTACAATATTTATTTCTTTACAAATGAGGTCGAGGAAAGATCGAAATGATTAGAGCCGTAATTTCGTAATTTTTCTAGCATTTTGTTAAACATTGTTTTTTTTTGTAATTCACAACTGCAATATCGTGAACGTAATCTTCCACAAACACGGCTTTGACTCATATAGTGCAAGAAATTTCCGCCAAAATACTTTTTACTTAGAAAATTGAGCTAATTTCACCCCTAACGACACCAGCATGCTGGTACAATCACACCACAAGAACATACACGGTCAATCGACTTGATGGGTCATTTAACAAATTTAGCATATTAAGGGCCGTGAACTTATCTATTTTAAACTATAGTTAAATCGTTAACAGATAAGTTAATAGCCCCAATACTTTTACAGTATGTATTTATAAAAGCGTAAGAAACATACAATACATATATGTATATATATCTGTCTTTCTTAGTGTAAAAATTCATCTCTTACATAAATGCAAAAAAAACACAAATTAAGCATATACAACATTTTCATGCCAAGTATGAATAAATTCTAAAAAGGGCTAAAAAAAGGGCTAGGGGCAATTTTAAATTTATGTGGCCAAAAAAAGTATGTGGTAGCCAAATCTAGCCACCAAAGGGCTAAAACGACAACACTGGTTATATGGACCATGGCTACGGATTTATATACGGTGTGAACAAAAAATGTTCCAGAGTATACCCGGCATTGCCCAGTAACTACGAATGGCGATCACCATCTCGATATTTAATCCCCAGTTAAACATCGTTACCTACATCACCGACTCCATGCACACAACATTGTGTCGGTAACGTCGGCAATGGTACGGTGCTCCTTCTCAAAGCGATGTTGGTCCATTCGCTTTGCTCCCAAGAATGGAACTTCTTGCGTACATAAGGCTGCAAATCACCCAAAATCTTGACGAGTGCAAGAGAGCTGTAAAATATAAAATTATACTTTGAAATAGCAAAAGAGAAATCAGTTGTTTGCATACTATGGACATACGCAGAGTCCGGTAATTATATGTGATTGCTGCGCTCGCGCAAAATTATTTGCCTCACTTTTTCATTTGTTTGCTGCTCATTATTGAGCAAAACAGTTAATAAAACCATTGAACTCATTTTAGTTTTCACTTTTTAATTTCTTCAAATGAATTTTGACACTTCAGAACGCAATTGACAAGTAGGAGGTTTGTTCCTTTTTTTCTACAATCGGATTCGATATTAACTTCGAAACAAAAGTTCCGATCGGATTGTGGAACACCATTTAAATTCCGAGTCGGAATTGAATTCCGATTCCGATGCGATTCCGACTCGGATTGCAGAACAGGGCTGATAGATATATATTTATATATAGTACATATTTAAATGCGTACCCTGTAGTTCTGATGGAGTTTAGCTAGTGACAAGAGACGACATAAGCTAACAATTCCATACATTACCGATTGTTAGGCAATTCACTGGCGACAGGCTATACGACGCCCATATTGAAAAATATCATATCCCCCCGTTTCTGCGTTAACCACGTATCTACATTTTTGGAAAAAACTTATATTTCCACTTAGAACAACAGTTTAAGAGTCACACTATTAAAAAAAAAGTTAATGTGTGTGGTAACTCGTACTAGCAGGACCAGAAATATTAAGTACAAAAAGCTTTTGTTGTATCATTGTGGAATTTTTTCTCACATTATCTAGACTGACTGGCGATTATGTGCATTACTGGTCGTTAGGCAATGCTCTAGCGATTGGTAATCGCCACGTCTTGGTACCAGTAACGATTTCGCTGACCCGCCAGTAGTGAGTACTATTTACAAAATTTGCGGTACCAATTCCTAACGACTTTAACATGGCGAAGTTATTGGAGCGTCCCTAGCGGTAACCTCGCATAACCTGTCGCCAGTGAATTACCTAACAATCGGTAATGTATGGAATTGTTAACTTATGTCGTCTCTTGCCACCAGAAGAACTACAGGACATCAACTAGGAATGTTTATCCCGGGATCCCGGACTTCTTAAGGTCTCGAAAATCCCGGGATTCTTGGCAACTAATCCCGGGATTTTCGGGATTTGTAATTTGCACTGATGGCAATAATAGAAACTCTTTTTTCTGCACCAGTATTGGCTACATTTCTTTATAATTAATATTTTTTTATAAACGCCTAGCTCATTGTACATATAACACCGCGCGATAGTAAGTTTTAAACACAAATATCAATATATTCGCAAATCCATGGGCCAAATATAGTAAAATTGTGGTTTTAGTTTTTCACTCTGACGTCAGTAATTCAAAAATTATTTAAAAAATTCAGAGAAATGTGCTTAGAGAAGAAGTATGGGCATAAAATTAAAGAGGAAATCCTGTAGCATTTAAACATGTTCAAGTATCTAGTGCAGAAGGGCTGGTAAATATTGAAAATGTCATTTTAAAAAATTATCCTTGAAATTTCGCAATATTTGTTCGAATTTCGTTCTTCTAATTTTGTCAGCTTAAAAATTACCTATTCGTCCTGGTGGATGCAAAAAATTTTAATTTTTTTAATTCTAAAAAAATTTCCTATTGCATTTGGTACCCATATTTTTATTCTGCATTGCATTGAATTTTTTAAAAATTTTTGGAATTTATCATATCTTTGAAATTACAAAGTCCCTCAAAATAAATCCTGCGGTCAGAGAGAAAAAATAAAAACGCCACTTTAAATAAAAAAGTAGGTTGGAAACCACGGTACAATAATTACAGGTATTGTCTTCCTAGAGAGTTTTCTTCACATCGAAATTCGTGCTCCCTTATTTTCATTTTAACGCAGTTCAATATTGATTCTTTTACTTTTATTTGGATTTGCTTTTTGTTTTCGCTCAATTTAATTTTTATAATTTTTCAAAACAAAAGAAAAAACGTTTGAAATAAAGTGAGCGATACAAATTTTGAATTTATTTACAAGCAAATGTTTTTTTTCCGGCTTTTGCAAAGTGAATAAGTTCTCTGTAGGATGGTTTGTTAAAAAAAATACGTGAACATATATGGTATATGGCAAGGCATATTCAACAAGGTAGAAGTGACAATTCAGTCGAGCTCTCTCATAGCTCATAGCTGTATTAATGTCAAAAAATGTAAACAAAGAAATTAACCCTTTGTTATGCATTTACCATATTTGATAAAACTCAACGGCCCGTAGCTATATTCAAAATAAAGTCGACTCCTAAAGTTAAAAACAGCTTTTTGAAATAACTTTCAATGGGATATCTCTCAAAAAACCGGTGTTTAACTTTAGAGTCGACTTTATTTTGACTATAACTGCGGGCTAATATCTTTGAAATGAAAGTTTTTGTAGATATGAAAATTTTTAAAATCTCATTAGAATCAGCTTCATTTTTGGTATTGCATTTTCGTTTTAATGTAAATGTGGAAATGCATACTTACACAAAATTACACACTAAGTGAAACACACTCATTTATAAACCCATTTTGGCAATTTTCTTGCGTTTACTAGCTCAATGTTTTTAAGCATTTATTTTTTTTATTCAAATACTTAATTTTAAAGTATATTAGACATTTAAAAAAAGGTTTGATTATTCTAAATTTACATCAGAACTTAACTTCCATAATTCAGCAATTATATTTTTGCAATTCGAAATTTCCTTTCCATTAAATTTATTAAAAGTTAATTTCAGTTTCTTTATGTCAACAAGGAATTCCGGTTTAGGTTTTATTAGACCACCATTTGAAATTTGGATAGACCATGTATATGAGTGGAAGATTTTCTCTTCATATTCGGTATAATAATTCCTGCACCTGGGAACAAACGCGTCCGCTTAGAAATATCCGGCTGCGATGGGCAACAAATAAAGTCACTGGCACTAAAATGGTATTCGCGCACACGTGAAGTCTCCTAATGAAGTATTGATACTTCGGAGTTTTAAAATAACGCACAAGTTTGTTGTCCTGGCTCTTATTATGTATTTAAAATCAGTCGCACAGCTCATAATTGAAAATTTATATTAAAAAAATTAAAATCTTTAATAGTATTAGGGTTAAGAGCAGTTCAAAAGAGAGAAATGTCGAAATCACTTCTACCATGTTATGCCTTGGTATATGGCAACGGTGGGCAAACGCGTCTCTTTGAGCCAAATGCGGCTCTTTGCTTAGCAAAGTGCGGTTCTTTTTAGCTTCTCTTTGCTTAGAACATTTTTGTTCTTTTTACTTTTTAAAATACATACATATTTCTTTGCCGGACATTCTTTTCCATTTTGTTGTTTTTTAACCGACTTCCAAAAAAGGAATATTTTTTTTTTANTTTATTTTGACTATAACTGCGGGCTAATATCTTTGAAATGAAAGTTTTTGTAGATATGAAAATTTTTAAAATCTCATTAGAATCAGCTTCATTTTTGGTATTGCATTTTCGTTTTAATGTAAATGTGGAAATGCATACTTACACAAAATTACACACTAAGTGAAACACACTCATTTATAAACCCATTTTGGCAATTTTCTTGCGTTTACTAGCTCAATGTTTTTAAGCATTTATTTTTTTTATTCAAATACTTAATTTTAAAGTATATTAGACATTTAAAAAAAGGTTTGATTATTCTAAATTTACATCAGAACTTAACTTCCATAATTCAGCAATTATATTTTTGCAATTCGAAATTTCCTTTCCATTAAATTTATTAAAAGTTAATTTCAGTTTCTTTATGTCAACAAGGAATTCCGGTTTAGGTTTTATTAGACCACCATTTGAAATTTGGATAGACCATGTATATGAGTGGAAGATTTTCTCTTCATATTCGGTATAATAATTCCTGCACCTGGGAACAAACGCGTCCGCTTAGAAATATCCGGCTGCGATGGGCAACAAATAAAGTCACTGGCACTAAAATGGTATTCGCGCACACGTGAAGTCTCCTAATGAAGTATTGATACTTCGGAGTTTTAAAATAACGCACAAGTTTGTTGTCCTGGCTCTTATTATGTATTTAAAATCAGTCGCACAGCTCATAATTGAAAATTTATATTAAAAAAATTAAAATCTTTAATAGTATTAGGGTTAAGAGCAGTTCAAAAGAGAGAAATGTCGAAATCACTTCTACCATGTTATGCCTTGGTATATGGCAACGGTGGGCAAACGCGTCTCTTTGAGCCAAATGCGGCTCTTTGCTTAGCAAAGTGCGGTTCTTTTTAGCTTCTCTTTGCTTAGAACATTTTTGTTCTTTTTACTTTTTAAAATACATACATATTTCTTTGCCGGACATTCTTTTCCATTTTGTTGTTTTTTAACCGACTTCCAAAAAAGGAATATTTTTTTTTATTATTTTTTTGTATGTATGTTACCGCATAACTTTGGACCACGTCAACCGATTTCGATACTGCATCGGAAAGGTAGTGTTTCAGAGGTTTAGATCCGATCATTGGATCATGAAATATATATATATATATATATATATTTTTTTATATGAGAATTGAAGTCGGTTTTTTTTTTGCTAAAAATTACTTGTTATTTTATTCTTTTTATACATACATACGCAAATTAATATCGGAGAATGAAAATTGGCTTTCTGACTTAATGTTCTTTACCGATATGATGGAACATTTGCAAAACTTGAATTTGTCTCTACAAGGAGAGAATAAAAATGTTTTTGATTTGTCGTAAATTATATTAAGTTCTGAAGCTAAACTACGTCAAAAAAAGAATATTTCATCATTTTCCATGGGTAGAAAAAATATTTCACATGATATAAAGCAGATTTTGAAAGAAGATTTGCCGATTTGAAATTATTTAAATGTACGTTTGCATACTTCATAAACCCTTTTTTATGTAACATAATTAAGGATGAATTTACAATATCCGAAATATTCCTTTTTAAGAAAAGCGAAGAAGAGTTGGAGTTTTTGGTATTAAAAGCAGATAAGGCACAGGAAATGCAACATAAAGCTTTGCTATTGCTAGAATTCCTGCAATAAGTGCCAGACAGCTGCGTGCCGTAAATTTTCAATTTTTGAGTGAGTCTTTGTACTCTACAATGAAATCCGTAAAATCGAAATACCGTTCAAAATTAGTTGCATTCGCGTACCTAATAATTATTGCAAGTTATAAAAACTATCCGCTTTTGGTGTACGAGCACGCAAAAAACATGCAAAGTAGGGGAAATTGAGAGAGCAAAATGACATGTCATTTTGAGAGAAAGCTGTCAGTTTCTGCTGGAAAAATGTTTGCTAACTGCAATTTGCCAACAAGAAAACAGCTGATCAAAAACAGCTGGTTGGAATTTACGCAAATAGTTTGAAAGTTAATATAGTAAAATGCGACTAATTAAACTTGTAAGAAGTAAGTAA